GAAGCCTTGTAACTTTGATTTATATTTGCAGAGTGCACAAGCTTGCTCACGTGGATGAGCTCTTGCAACATCTATCTTTGAACACAGAGGAGAGAAATGGGAACTTGTTAATATGGCAGAAGTCAGTTTTGAGAGGTCTTAACACCCTTAGTTAAAGAAAAATGACTTAACAAAACTAACTCTCTTATCTATTTATATGCCTGTTCCCCACCTCCCACTCCAAGACTACTCTTGCTTTGGTGTGCAAGAATAACTCATGAAAATATTCAAAGAAACTGAATGTTTTAAAAACAGAACAGCTTTCAAAGGAGAACAGATTCCAAACATTTGATATTTTCCTGAATATTTGCTTACAACCCTTATTTCGTTAGGAAAAAAATACAATACACAAATACTTGATGCAGCTACATACAAAAGCCATCCAAATTTCACACTCCACAATCTGTAGATGATGATTTTTCCGGGCATCTGCAGCTTGGCACAGCATGGAAGCCAAGCAGATTTGTTGCTGAAGCAGGCCATAAATTATTTAATGAGAAATATATTTAAGAATAACGCTTCCATCTCTCTCCCGCACAGCAGCTGCCGCTGTTGCCGTGTCTGCGCGAGCGGCTGCTGCTCGGGGATTGGCCACCCCGGCACGTCTGTGCCATTGGCTATATTTCCAGGCTGCGTCACTGCTCCAGTCAATAGCGAGATTTCAGAAATAGGTGTGTGCATGTTTATCAACCCCAGGCAAGCGAATGCCATCATGTTTCAGCTCAGTCGGAATAAAAAACTTGACCAGAGAGAGTTAATTAAAAGGAGGTATTTGCAGAAGGCAACCTTGCAATAACAATTACTAAGGGCTGAATCCTGTAGGCACTTAGGAGGTGAAGGGACTCAGCTCACTGCAAATTACTGTAATCATTCAGATTATGGAAATATTCATACTAGATCATAAATCTGTTATTCATCTTTAGGCAACTGGGCTGAGGATGATTTCCCCCCCCCGCCCCGTGGGGAATGTTCTGTAAATTAATTCAAATCCAACTTCCGTCAGACAGCTCCCTCTCCCTTGCTTCTAATCGCTTTCTCGTTACATGGTAGCTTTGAGACTTGACAACACAGACTCACAGTGGCCTTGGTTACTGGTTTCATACATATTCAGATATATTGTGCCTCTGTAGAAATCAGGTTTGCTGCGGGAAGGTCCAATATTTATGCATTATTCCAGAAAGAAAGGTGTGATGGGCTAGATCTCACATGCAAAATAGCTGCATTTACAGGAGGAACAATTCAACCCCTCATCCTTGTTAAGGCAGTCATATACGTATGCATATACAAGCAGACCAAAACGTACTATAAGATAGTAACTGGTGCTTTTTACCTGTGCTGCTCTGTCCACAAAACTAAAACAATATTCATACAGATATTTACTTGTTAAGAAATACTCATGCCTTTCCTGCAGCATATGTAATGTACAATTTAAACATCACAGTCTTATCTACAGTGGCAGAAATAATGAATACAGTCTGCCTTACTGTAGCTAGTACATTCTCAGGTACATTCATACAGAAGGCCTTGTTCTGCTATATGCTCTTGTACAGGGACATCGGTGGAGTACCTGTAGAGACAGTGTCACAGAACTACCTACACTCGCTAAAGCCATATGTATGGATCCAGTTTGGGAGCACTTACTTGTATTCATCATAAACCTCCTGCTTGGGAAGGGATGTCTCGGGGTGCTCTTCCAAGGTGTTCCGTATCCACGAGAAGGCGTGCATCTGCTGGGCACGACTGGACGACATGGAGATCTGATCGCTAGTGAAAGAAGAAGCAGTGCTGATGAAGACTTCACTCCATAGCTCCTCCTTGGTTACAAAACTTAATAATTGTCTGCCTACACAGGTGGAGAGACACCACAGACAACGAGGGCCAGCACCTCACACGTTTCACTGTTCCTTGAGGTGCGGGCAGCAGTTATCTCCTGCTTTCATCTACAATTTAACAAGGAGACTCCACACTCCAGTTCTTGACTGATACACAGCCGCAAGTAGACAGTGATGGGTGAGAGTTCACCTGCTGTCCCTCTTAAATTTATTGTTCCTTACTGACCACCTCTAAGCTTTTGCCCACTCAGTTTGCCATCTGCCCTTTGGAAACGCCCAACTTTCCCAGCAGATGCTCAGAGCGCTTCCTGTAGGCACTTTTCTGCCTATAACCATCCTACTGGGAACAAATACTAATTTTGTGATGTTGTGATCTGCAGGATGGTTTTCTAGACCTTCCTTTACTCAGACAAATGTTACCAGAAGTACCAATAGTTCCTTCTTTCCCCAACCATCACATTTGTGTTGCTATATTATCACTTCCTACATTAACAGTGAAGGAACAATCACACTTAGGTTGCAAAACACTTTCTATGATGACTCTTACAATTTAGGAGGTTTATATTTACAAGCTATTCATGCACTAAAGATTCAGAAACTAAAAAAAAAAAAAAAAAACACAACACTTCAGGAAGAGTCCTTAATGTATAATAGAAGCTGCTTCTGCTACCAAACACGTCATGTGAACGGTTCCTCAGCAGATTAAGTGCCACAGAACGTAAAGTAACTTTTCAGTACTAGCTGCTCACGTTTACATGCTCAACAGACATACCTTTTGTCTCCATTGCTGGGACCCGAAGGCAGCTGAAGGTAGAGGTAGAGTTTCTCTAGGTCTGTAAACTTCTCAACTTCTTGCTAGATAACAAAGGTGGTTTGTTTTTAAAAAAAAAAAAAAAAAAAAAAAAAAAATGGTGGGAGGAGGCAGGGGGAGAAAAAGCAAACAATAAGAGTTGAGCCTGACAGCTAAAACCTGTCATCCAACAGTGTATTCCTAAATAATGTAATTTTAAACAAGACAATATTCACTTATGTGAAAGAACATGACTCTGAGTACTCTGGGACCAGAAACATGATTTTCTATTTTATTTGCACACCACCACACACTAGAATGTTCTGGTCACCATTACAAAATTCACACTCAACAAAAAGCAGAATATGGAAAAATGTCAATAACAGATCACTTCTGTAACCAGACACATAACATGAAAACTTTATCTTCTCAGAGTACACATGAAGCACCTCTGAGAACACAGCATCAAAAAACAGCTATGCTGTCACAGAGCAGGATATCAGACCTGATCCTGTGATCCACTATATATTAATAGTTAAGTGTCACAGGCTTCAATGAAGAAATTTTAAGATATGTATGTATTCTTTTGTATCCTTTGGAAATCAGAGTTATTGAACAGGTCCTGAAGACAAGCCATTCAGTTAACATGAATCTCTGTGATGCTGGACCCCTCCACCAGAGGATAACAGCTGAGCATCCAACACAAGGGGAAGTTTTACCTGGCATATGCAAACAGTAATTGGTACACACAAACAAGCTTTTGGTCATTTGAAACCAACTACACAGACTTAGAAATACTAGGAAAATCAGATGTGGTCATGTGGCTCAGGCCTGCTCAGCAGCAGTGGGAGTAAAGCCATGCAGCAAGGAGTGAATGGGTTCTTCAGGGTGGTGCACCATCAGTACAGAGTCGCCAGTGATCCCTTTTTAAGTCAGAATACAGCTTTTGGATTACAGTCAATTCTCTTTTCCTTCACTGGTGTCTTACTGCCAATGTAACCTTTTCCAAAATGAAGAGAAAAGAATCATGGAATCGTAGAATGTTTTGGGTTGGAAGGGACCCCTAGAGTCATCTAGTCCAACCCCCCTGCAGGAGCAGGGACACCGCCAACTAGATCAGGTTGTTCAGAGCCCCATCCAACCTGGTCCTGAAGGGATGGGGCCTCCACTACCTCTCTGGGCAACCCATTCCAGTGTTTCACTACCCTCATTGTAAAGAATTTCTTCCTTAGATCCAGTCTAAACCTACCCTGCTTCAGTTTAAAACCATTACCCCTTGTCCTGTCACAGCTGGCCCTACTAAAAAGATTTTCCCCATCTTTCCTATAGGTCCCCTTTAAGCACTGAAAGGCTGCAATCAGGTCTCCCCACAGCCTTCTCTTCTCCAGGCTGAACAAGCCCAACTCTCTCAGCCTGTCCTCATAGGAGAGGTGCTCCAGCCCTCGGATCATTTTTTTAGCCCTCCTCTGGACCCGCTCCAATAGTTCCATGTCCTTCTTGTGCTGAGGGCTCGAGCTGGATGCAGTACTCCAGGTGAGGTCTCACCAGAGCAGATTAAAAATCACCTCCCTCGACCGGCTGGCCACGCTTCTCTTGATGCAGAGGGAGGGACCAACAGGTAGTGAGACCTGGCTGTTTACTTCAGCAATGAGCAGAACAGAGAGCGGGGAAACTAAAAACCTAAGCTTCACTTCAAAGTGGGGCTCCCTACCGACCTCATTCATGTCCAGATCCACCTTGCTTCGGCCGACACAAAATTAACAGCACTACTAGAGGGAGGTGAGCTCCCACTTCCCCTGTGCTGGCTCTGCGCCCATCGCACAGGTCCCCTCCCTGACCCCAGGCTCCAGGCAAGGACCAGCATAACGGGCCATCCGGGGAAGGGCACTGGGAGAGCACAGGGGCTCACTAATCCCCACCATCCAAACCCACCGCAAAACTGCTCCACAGAACTGGGCCACCAGCGATGCGACAGATGCTCTCAGAGCCAAGAGAAACACTTCCAGCAGCAGCCAGGTAACAGACACTGGATTTGTTGCTTTTATAAGCTGCAGCAAACCACAACATTTGGGGGTTTTTTTCTTCCTCTGACAAACTCCTGAAATTTGCTGACAATGATTTCTGTGTGGCTCTACAGCAGCTTACACAGCAGTGGTGCTCAGACCACCTAATATCCAGAGAGGTATTTCTTAATGGGTGCATTTTGTCAAATTCTTTGTTCCTCCTTTCCTGCATAAATCACAGCATTTGGACTGGTGGGTTTTCCTTTAACAAACACATTATTGAAAAGATCAACATTCTTCAAAGAAAGAATTTACAGAAAAAAAATTATTTATGAAAAGACAGAAATTTACAAATGCAAGAAAATTTGCGCTTATTAGAGCTCTTCGAGGAACTTAGCTGCTTTTTGTTTTAAACAGCAAACGCCAAAGCAGCACACCAGAGGACACAGTTCAGGTGAGATTACCTTGCACAGTGAGCACTAATTCGTGTGGCAAAAGCATCCCAGGCAAAACAAAACAAAAAACTTCCTGATGACTCTGACACTGAGGTGGAAGACAACCTCCCACTTCCAAATCCAGTGTGCCAGAGTGCAACATAAAGCGCAAGGTTTTAGAAGAAACATTAAGCCTTCCATCAAAAAATACTCTGTGCCCACTGCAGATGAAGCAACTTCTGCTATGCCCTGGCAGAAGGAGGGGGCTGTGTGGAAGGGCCCTGCTTGAGCCATGGAGGCTCAGCTACACAGGCCCTGTCCATCAAACCCTCTAATTAATAACCAAAAAACCCCAATAATACAAGTGTAGAGAAAAAATTTGACTGGGTTTATGTTAGCAGAGCCTTCTCCAAAGGATGGAAGCAAGCCAGTGACTCTCATCAGCAAAACTGCATCCCTAGAGCTGAGGCAGCTGAGGATTATGGCTTTCTCGCATCCTCAGCAGAAGCAGCTGGACAGTGATGCTGTCTTACTGTTTTCACTCAAAACCCACTCATCTTCACGCCTGGCCCCAGGCAGCACTTTCTGCACAACTCTTCCAGCTATGGTTGTGGGGAAGCCCCGGGGGGGCAGGACCTCCTCCAAACAGGAGAGTTAAATGTGTGGTCAGGAGTCACAGGCAGTTCATGGACGTAATCCTACCTGGGTGATAATTAGATAAACCTAAGCTTATTAGATGAGACTGAATCTATTTAGAGAAAATCATCTTAAAACTGAAGAAGTGGTAGCAAAGGGATGCTTTGTTTTATTTAGCTTAAGAATCTGTCAAACATTATGTTTTGTTTAGGCTGTTTTCTCTAAACATTTCTAAAACTCTAAAAACTTGGTTTCTCCAACCTCATCTGACATCCAGTGCTAAAGGTCTAGTGAGTTCAGTGATAACTCTGTTACTGCAACTGTTCAAAGTATCAAAACTTTCAAATTTCTTAATGCAATCAGAAAAGAATTTGGGAAAGTGGAGGAACATTTCAGCTGGCCTACTGATGACTACTGAACAAGAAGAAAAAGATTAATTCGTCCCGAGTTTTAATTTGTGCTAACTTGGATGCATATGGAAATGAATAAAAAGAAACAAGTACACAACATATAGTATACATTTTCTCCACACATATCCTGCCCCAATAGGTCAATAGTGTGGAAAAGAGGCACAGCATCAAAAGGAAGACTGCGATGCTGGCATCATCTTGGACAAATTCCCCTTTGCGTAGCCTGTTAAAGCTTATGCTACAGTAGTTTTAAAACCCATACAGAATGTAAAGTGTCTGAGGAATCCTTTTCCGCTACTTAAAAGGATCTAAGTAAAAATTTTGCTTGATGTTTCCTGACCTTGATTGACTGGTTCTGTCAAATCAGATGAAGACTGTCTAATTCTTCAAAGGCTATTTATAAACCGTCTTTTCTGAAGCTGCATTAGAAAAATGCATAAGCATGCTAAACTGCTTGCAGGACTGAGGTGTAAAGCCATCACAAAGCACCACCTCTGTTACTCTTGGTTTTCACACGTTATATTTATCTCCTGTAATTGGAACCACATTAAATAAAGGAAGATTCAGTGAAGATAGGAATCAAGCAGTGTTTATACGTATTTTCACAACTTGGATTCAATTTAGCCAAAAAATATAACAAGTACTCAAAATATCCGAGTGATCTTATGTTCTGAGACAGAAAAACTGAGGACAAAGAATTAGGAAGCTCAAGTCACATATAAAGGAGCAGAAAACTGATACTTTTGTTTTGACAGTTACCAAATATAGATAGTTCACTAAAGAAATTCACAAAATCTATAGCAAACAAATTAAACCAGAGAACCATTTATATTTGTGTTATCAGTGGCCACATAGATCTGCTCCAAATGAATCTGTCCTGCTGCCCAAGACAGACACAAAACAAGGATCTCTTAGGAACAGAAACAACTGTCTTTTTCATTCTAACAGGCATTTTGATTGAGCAAATAAACACCTGTGAAATAAACCAGGATGGCCAAAATGTTGTGGGTTTGGGTTTTTTTTTAAATGAAAATAGCAGGTTTTGACATCTGGTTCCATTCTGAGAGATGCTAACTAGAGCACTGAAACTTTTCGCAGCACAAAGAAACAAATATCAGTTCAACACAGAACGTGGTTAAGGACTTAATCTGTGTTATAGGAAACACGAGTTTATATGTTCCTGGTTGAACCAAAGAACCTAGAGATTTGAACGTGAGTCTCCAGAATCACAGAGTATCATTTAAGGTTTCCTGACCTTGGTGGATTGCTTCTCTCTATCTGGTTTTCTCTGACTGCTGATCTACTGTCAGGTCAGAAATGTTAGTGAAGTTTCACCCTAAAGCTGTCAAAGGGGATTACCATGGGAAAACTCCAGGGAACGCTTTTTCTGGACTATTTTAAACAAGAAAATACTTAGTCAGGCCAAACTTTAAGGAACAATTAGCAGAGTTACAACTTCTCTAATGAATGGCATTCAAATTTGAACTATTTCATATTTCCACAATGAGGCAGAATTACAGGTTATTTCTGTCCTCGAGTTCTGGTGAACAGGAGCTGAAGGCTAGGGGCCCTGCTGCAAGCTTTTCGCAGGACTACTATTTTAGAGAGCATGGACTGATCTTAGCATTTCTTTCCACATTTTGAGTATTTATAGATAACTATATTCTAAACGAAGTAAAAAAGGCTATGCCAATGGCAGCATAACTTGCACCTACTGGCAGACTGGTTCTAAAACTTGCCATACTTCAGCAGAACAAACATCTATTATTTAACAACCAGGCTAAGAATAGCAAAGCAGTCAAGCAATCATCTCCCCACTTTGTGAACAGAGGAACAAGAAGCAAAGGTTAAATAATTTGCTCAAGGTCAGATGGTTGGCTGGAAATATGATCAAGACAGAAAATAGCTAATACTTGAAACAGAACCTAATATTCTAAAAAGCTGCTAATAAATACATTTGATATGCTCTATCAGAACAGAACACATTTCAGGTGCTAAATATTCCAAACAAGCCCTAAAAACAATGGCAACTTTATACTGACTGTGTCCAAGCACAGGCTGCCAAAGCTTCACAGAGCTGCTGCCTGTCTCCTGTAGGGCCAAAGAGACAAGTGACAAGCTACCACCTTCTCTGCAGCAGGACCGAGACACATTGCTTCAACAGATCTTACACACTGCTGCTGCCCACACTTTAACTGCTCCAGCCATCAGCAGCTTTGGTTTTTGTGGTCATCGATCCAGCACCGATCTCTTTTCAGAGGACTAAGGAAAGAAACCTTAACCTTCTTGCTGAGTGATTATATAGTGCATACCATTTTAAGAATAAGGTTCAAGAGTTCACTTAGTATGTGGCAAAAATATAACAAGAAAAGTCATAAGAGAATCCACTGCTAGACATGTTTACTACAGTTAAAAAGATGTTATAATGAATTTTTAATGGCTGTTTACACCACAGTTCTTGCTAATTATCTTTTTTGGATTGCACAGCATACAATGATTTTCTTATGATCTTCCAGAAACTGACAGTATGTCAGAATGTAAGCGGTGCAGTATAACAAGTAAAAGGCCTATAACTTTGGTCTCTTGTATGCGTAATTGCAGTCCTAGTGCCCTTATACTAGCTGTTTTCCATAGTCCTCTGCTGCTAGCTACCTCCACAACAAAGACTATTGCCATCACCTCTGTTTCTTCTTTCTATTCCACTCTTTCTTGCTATCCTGTGTTCAACTAGGCAGCATATGTGCTAAAGAGCATTTGTGTGCGGCTCTGTGCACTATGGCTATGACTGGTGCTACCAAACACAAACAGCAATAAACATGTCTCATTTTTCTCTACTGGTGTTTTTTCTTTTAAGATTGCTAAACACTGATCAAGTTCAAATGCTTTAAGGTATCGTCAGCACCTCCCAATATAACCAAAAGCTAGTCCCAAATCTCCTCCTTACAGTAAGAAGGGAGACGGGACAGACATTGTCCCTTTATGCTTCACGAGACTGATTCAAAGGGCCTGAAAAGGTTTCTCTCTGAAACAAACATGTAAGAACGTGCACTTAAAAGAAATGTTCTGACCTGCCCATAAGCTTGGAGTCCGACTCTGCAGGCAGCTGGTACCCCAAACACAGGACTGCTCTGACAAACCCATGCACATTCCACTGAAGAGGTAACCTGCTCATCTACCTTCTGCAGGACAAAACTGGACAGGCCTGCAAGGAAGCTCCCAACAAGTTATTTAGAGCTATATCGTCACAGCCTTTTAGTTTACATACTTTTAGATACTGTCTTGCAGCAAACAGCTTTCCAAAAGCATGTAAAAACACAGACACCATTTTGCCAGAAAGCTTAATATTTATTTCCTGAAACTATTCTGATCTCTGATTTTTCTTTTTTAAACTACCTGAACAGCCTTAGATCTACCTTTGCTAATCTAGAGTGGCCTTTCCACTGCTGACAGGACTCCTCTGAACTCATCAGCAGGACAAACAAGGAGGCATCTGGAACAGAAAATTAGACCATCAGGATGCTGCTACTCTGTTCCAAGTTAAGCTGTGTCAAAGAACACTATTCAGAAAAATAGCTTGTCCATCCAATGGAGGAGACCTACACAAATGAATGGGCTCATACAAACTGATAATCCCTACCTCAGTACCCCAGGTCTGCAAATCTGCAGAATTTAATGCAAGCATAGTCCTAGTGTAATTCCATTTTCTTATAACAGGTTTCCAAGAAACACTCCCTCTCCAATGCTACTTAGGAACATGTACCCCACTTCCCATTTTTCACCACAGAAAAACCTGGTGTTAAAGAGTTTTACAAGTGCAATTTGCCTTTTTGCCACTGAAAACTCACATACAAAAAAAATTAAGATCTTTAGACACCTGCTTTGTGTCCACAAATGTCAATGAGGAATGAAGTGGACAAAAATGACATTTTGCATTGCTATTTTAGTTGGATGCATCCAAGAATTCTTAAGCATAGGCAAAATTGGGTCCACAGTTTGTCTGCAGCACAATACAGCTTACTTTAAACCTCTTACCACCACAATTTAAGACAACATTTTAAGGAAAGAGAGTTCAGTGCCATCTGAATTAGCCTTTGATAATGTGACTTTAAGGAGTATTCTTATTTAGCTCAGCCACACAGCTGAAAAGATTCTATTTGATAGCATCCAGATGGTTGTCTATGTCATCTTTTTATCTTACCCGCTGGTACTTCTGGATGAAATGCCAAAGGTAGAAAGTCAGAATAAGCAGTCCCTTCCAGTCTTAAGATTTACAATCTCAGACTCTGATTTAAAGAAACTCACAACCTGCTCACTATTAAAAACAAACAAATAAAACCTTTTTCTGAGTTAGTGCTAGGTATTTGCTTCCCAGAAATAATCTCTTATCGCTGTCTAGATCCTGTTACTTTAATGCACAAAGGAAGATGATAATTATGAATTTCAAGGGCTTTTGTTCTTCAAAAAAATGGTATTATCTCTCTGTCCTAAGTAGTACACTGGACCTAACAACAGGACCTGTAGTGTTGGACATTTCTGGCAAGGTACCTGAGACGGTGTGCAACTTTTGAAGTTAGGAAGATTTAAACAAACCAACTAAAAATCTGGTAATTATGACACCTGCAAGATTTTCACAGACCAGGATATTAGTCTGCTGTGTTTTGTGCAAACATGCAGTTCAATCTAGCTCCTTCCTTAAAATGTAGTACAGGCCATGAGTTAACTGTTTTAAGAAAACAACAGCACAAGCAATAATCAGTGTCATTAAAGGCCTAAAGACCAATGGAACTTGAAGGCACAATTAGTTTCTTGCATACTCTGGTCTGTGCAATACATAATCTTGCCTTTAATAAAATCATGCTTACAAAAGCAGTAAGTCACTTTTCCATGCTGCATCTATACTGACAGTTCTACAAGTGGCAATCACAGCCACTTGCTGCTGGCAACAAGAGGTCAATACTTCCATGAAAAGCAAACACCAAACCCACATCATGTATTTTTTTGGCAATGGGAACTAATTTTGATCACATTAAGCAGTAGTACCTTAAAGCGCTGCTAAGGAAAGGCTTCATAATAGCTGTCAGTCTCCAGAGTCATCTATTTTGGTCTTGCAGTTTATTAAATATTAAAAAGCATTCTGGAGTTGTACTTACCAAAATGCAGTCCACTTTAGATTGTACAGTTTTGCTAGATATGAGGGAAAAGAGAAAATAGAAACCTTGAATTAATCTAAACAGCAATGACAAAAATATTACATATTACAATTTCTATCACTGTACTACAGGCTTATTCTCCTGCTACGAAATAATCCTGCTAGTCTATGGAAGAATACTCACCCAGCTATTTTTTTGTGAAGTCACCCCAAACTGTTTGTTATAATTCGTGCCGTTTTGCTCTTTTTTATAAGAACTGTATATTTTTCTAATGAAATATCATTGCAACTGGGAGCTGTTATCCCAAGTTGCAAAGCAGCCAGGATGGATGTCACTACTTTTCATTGTAAGCTCCTCCACAATTCAGATGCATTTTACTTGTTCATCTGTAAACACAATTAGCACCCCCCTCTCCCCACGCTTCAGTAAATCCCACCACTTCAAGGCATTTATTTCTAGCTTTCCAAAGAGCTGCTACAAAGCAGACAATTGGTATCCCACTGGCAACTTAGGAGTTTTCCACGTTAAGTCTCACTACCTCCCAGTTGGCTTATTAAGAAGACATTGGGTGAGGACTGAATTAAAGTATGCCATAAATGACCTCAGTACATGTGCCAAGGAGTGCAAACAGTATGGAACTTATTATACTTCATATAAACACACCCACAAGCAGCTTTTGTGTTTCTTAAGGGTCCTGTATTTCATGTGCTTGGTCTGACTGCATTAGTTGAAGGCATTTTATCATTGCTCTGAAGACGAGCAGGAGCTTTAACATGCAAAAAACAATAGTCTTTACTGCTGGATGCCTACTGAACAAGCACTAAACAACCATTTTCAGAGTTCAGGGAGTGATTCTTTTCCTAGTAGAATAAAACACAATTCAATCTCCTGTTACCACAACAAAACATCTCATTTCCAGTTACTTTACTTTTGTACAGGTGCTACCACATATAAAGAAAGACCAAGTAAGGTATCTGATGGTTATACTAAAATCGTAAGTAGGAAACAAGCAAAACAAATGGCTCTAGTGTCTGGTGGTGATAGGAACCAAAGCTACTGAACCAGCATCTACTGTTGTATCAGATGCTCAAAAGCATCTTGTTGCAACACCTCATTCTGAAACTAGACAGTGTAAGAATCTGTTCTGCAGGAGCTGCTAATACTGATGTCCCTTCCCATATAAGAACTGCATATGCTATAGTGACAGAATATAATAAAAATTTTCAACAGGTAAGAATATATGACAAGTCCACTGAAGTAGATACGTCAGCAAACATCCACTTCAGCTGACTTTGTGTAGGAGAAGACAATCAGATGGGTGGACACTTGGGAACACCAAGGTGGAAGTAAAGCAGAGCTGCTGGGGATTTGTGAGAAAAGGGAATGCTAAGCATGGTAAAATGGGAGCTTTTCCTTGCCTCGGGGAAGACATTCACATCTACCATAGCAGGCAGAAGGTTGAAGAAGGCAACTCAAATGCCATCTCACTTCAAAAACTACCATCTTACTAGAAAAGTCAAAGGACACCAAGCACAGAAACCTGCTGCTGCTGTTGAGAGTTATCACTGTGTCCAAAAGCTGACCGAGGCATGCTGACCAAGTCATGCTGAAGCAGACGGCTGCCCCAGCAGCACTTCTTTCACTCTGGACTCCATCTCACCCCACCGCCTCCTGCCCCTAGCAGGGTCTCACAATCCCTGTGCTGCTACAGATCCACAGCCTCTCATATAAAGCAGCAGCGCTCATGGCAGCGGGCAGGAGGGCTGAGGCATATGTGCCCATTTTTGTACCTAAACCTCTTCTAGGGCTTCACATGATAGCTTAATGCAGAAAAGGAGCATGGAGGATAAGGGGATGCAGGGAACAGGCAGATCAAACTTAGTCCAAATACAGCCTCTACTCTACAGACTTGCAGAGAACCTCGTGCGCTAGCCTTTTCAGGAGAACATGCTTCAGCCAGCATGGTTTCCCATCCTGCTCGTTACTGCCAAACTGCACATAAGCACGCCCATTTGCATTAATATTTTCTCCTTGCAAAGAGAAAGAGGCAAGTTGCCAGAAGGCAGCTGGGCAGGAGATCCCTAGAGCTGTCCTTTTATCTCCAAATATCAGCCTGAGTCAGTAAATGTAAACTCTCAAATTTAGTTCAGGCTCTTCCAGCTGTGACCTCTGCTCCCACAGCACCGATCAACAGTGTTGAGAAGCCGCAGCAGAAGAGCAATAAGGCGGCCAGCAAATACACTTTCTCTATGTTTTCTTTTCATAAAACTGGTGGCACAAAAAGGACAGTCAAGTTCATGTCCTCCAATCTCCAAGCAGATTTTGTGACATTTTAAAAGGCAAAGGTCCTATGGCTTTTAGCAGGGATAATGTGATGACTATTTCAACAGCAATTTTTTTCATCTCCTGTTCCATGCTCCATAGTATACTGGGGGGACATAATTAAAATTTGTCAGTGGTAAACTAAGGCTTCTTTTGTCCTAACCAGAGCACAGGCTAACATGGCCTGCCTCTATAAAGCCTGCACCCAATAACATAAATGCTTATCTACCTTCCAGTGGAGTTGATCCATGTCAAAGTCAAGCAACAGCAAGCCTGAGGAACCAGCCCTTTGACTGGGAAGGTGCTGGGACAGTGACCTTATCATGGTCCTGAGCACCACACAGGTAACCTCCTTTTGGTGACGCTGCAGGATGCATCTCCATCAAATCAGGAGATAAAAGGACAAGTGACAGAGGTGCCAAAGAAACAGTCATCCCCGTTACAATGTATTTGCCACTTTTGTTTATTTCAATGCCCCTCTTCCTACACTAACAGGGCAGATGTGTTTTGGAAACTGAAATTTGGTTTACAAGTAAGTAAGTCTGCTTCTGTTTCTGTCAAATGTATCCCTCACCTAATTACTACTGCAATTACAATAACTGCAACCAGCAATCCCAAGAGCAAGGCTGAAGGAGGCCCCGCACATAGCGATTTCTAACCTTTGGAGGCTGCTACCCACACGCTTTTGCTACACATCTACGGACAGCTGCAGGAAAGCAGCAGGAGCAATAGGTGTTCTCACTAATTAAAATAACCTTTTGAATCCACTAAGGAACCTGAGCCTACTGGAAAACTAAACCTAGAGACCATACCGCAAGCCAACGGCCAGCATTGCTCCTCCTGGAGAGCTGCTCCTGGGGGCTCACTGTGACTTGCCCCCACCTAGAAACACAACTGACATTGCTCCCTTCTGTAGCTCTTCATGCTGACAGTCTTCCTAAAGCTAAACCAGTTCACTTACTTAATCTACCACTTAATTCAGGCTACTTCAAGCGGTTTCATCCAGGACAAGAAGGTGCTTTTTCTGATTCTGGGGGTAGCTGTCTCTTACAAGAGATAACACTGTCCCATCATAAGAACCCAGGAGTATAAAATTATATATCGAAACTTTGTCCTCCCCCCCCCCCCCCCCCCACACCACCACCTATAAAAACACAA